TCGTTTCGACTAATTTTATCTACCACAATTGTCAGAGCACGAAATGGTACAGTCTTGGGTTCAACGGAACCCATTATTTCTGCCAATCCTAGCATCTACAACAATAACATACTTTCTCCTTGCGTTCGGAACAAAATTTTGTCTGCCCTCTCTACTAGCACCTAAGTCCAATAATCATGGACCTATTCTCTATCATCAATAAAAGTTAAGTAGCACAATCCGAGTATAGATACAACAAACTATAGGATTCATCTTCATCATAGAATTCACCAGCATTCTCACTTCAATCAAATCCAAAGACCACCATCCATAAATAGTAAAATAATGTACAAACTAAAAGATATAGTAGACTTCCAATCGATTCAATCGTCCACCAATCCAACCTTAGCAGAGGCTGATCTCTAATACACTAAATGTTAATATTCCCTTCTACTCACCGCCAAAAAAAACCATTTACCACACCCATCATACCAGACTTCATTACAACACACGGCCATACAATTTCTCCAATACCAACACTACATCAAATAACGCCGATGAAATTCTCTATCTATGCCACGAGCTACAACAGGAACACAACCAGCCCTTAATCAAACCACTCAATCTTTACAACAATTACCCAAATAACACAGTCAAAATAACTACCATTAGCTCTCACAAACTCAACTTGCTAATAACCCACACACTATTCAAATAAAAGCTATCATTCCCACAAAAGAAATCGCCCATTACACCCACAACAAATACTCTTAATCATTCAATCATATTCAACTCACAACCATCTGCTTTCAATATCACACATAAGACTTCTGTTCACCTCTTTTGCTCACTTCGAAGCAATCGTTGCGACTCGCTCAGCTGATCGAAGATCACATGCTAAAGGAACATTACTCATAAAACTTCTGTTTATCTGTTTTGCCCGCTGCGTGTATAAACATTAGGAGTCGGCTAGCTTTTCGGAATGGTGTGAGGCGTACGACTGAGGCTGCTTGGTTGCTTTTTTTTGTATTGGCGGTGGAGATGTGTTAAATTTCTCTTGCAGTCGATGATAACTTTGATGCGGATGAAGAGTAGTAAATAAGGTTCTTAGTATTGGGGGTTGTTATGTTTGCTGTCTTTTAGTTGTTTGATTATGTATGAGATTTATAGTTTGTTTTCTTTGGGGGTGTTGTTTATATGGTACAGTCTGGTTTTAGGAGAATTCTCTGTGGGTTGCGACTTGCACGGTATATGTTTGTGCGCGATTCGTGATTTTTGTCAGCCTGCGAAAGAGCTACTTGTTCAGATATTGTTTGATTGAGTACAATATAATCGTGTGGATTTGTTTTTATGAAGCAAAAGAGCAGTTTTGTTGTTTCCTATTTCATAAGTAGTTGTATGCTTTTTGGAAGTATATCGCACGGTTGAGAATATGGTATGTTGTCTATCTTCTGTAGATGGATGTAGAATGAGAATGAAACTAACGTTTATGATTTGGTTTCGATAGGAGCAGTATGAGTTGGTTAGTGAAGTAAGTTTCCCGTATTTTGACCAGATCTTTGTAATATCTGTTGGATTTGAGTCGAATTAATAGGAGAGGGATGAGATGGAAATATTTATGAACGTCGTCAGAAATATCCCTTGTTGTGACTATGTATGTGTGGCATTTTTAATAGAGCTGAGGCTTTTCTTTTAGATATTGTTCGTACTAAAACATTTGGCTAATTTCTAATGCAGTTTTTAGAAAGGGTAATGGGGTTTTGATGTGTCGTAAGCTTGAAAATGACGTATGTTGTTCTTTTGAAGTGAGATATGGGAGACGCAGTTGGGTGAGTGTAGTTTGGTCGACGTAAAAATATAAGCATGATTGTGTTTTGTTTGCTGGATGCTGGTACAGCAATTGAAAAAAGAGTACATGTTGCCGTGGCTGTGCAACGTGACTATTAACTTGAGACATTCTTAACCGAATGACCGAGTTGTGTGCTTCTCGTCAAGTTGAATGTCCTTCACTTAGAAATAATACTTACTTTTAAATTGATTTCCAGACTAACAAACCGTTCGAGGTGCATGATGGTAGTTGGCAAGTATGAATAACCAAAATAGTGAATAATATGCGCGCTGGATATGGCATAGAAATGATGATCCGAGTAAAGATTTTCATTAGGAATCGGTGATTACCACCTGAAGATCGTTGAATACATAGAGTTTCATAATTCTTCAGGCGCAACAAAATGACTTAATAGTTGCAGACAGAAAATAATCATGAATCGGATGTTTTATATGAACCTTGAGAACTTGTGCCAATTCTTCAAATCACATATTATTAGATAATATCTTCTCTTATAACAATAAAAATATAAACCTAAGAATATGAGAATAAATTTTTCCTAATTGGTGAATCGGAAATTTTTTGTCAAGAAGTGTTCATAACGTGGTGAACAATTCTAAATAAAAGAGAGCATACTAGAAACCAATGATTGTTTAACTTATTTGCTTACGCAACGCTCATCACGTGTTACTGATTGAAGTTCACCCGACCTATGTATTCAATAACCGGATTGAAATGGAGAAAAAATATGAATATGTTGCGCGAAGAACAAAAATTTTATTTTGAACTATTGCTGGGCTAAATAATAATCGAATTTGACCTCAAGAAGATGGCACTAAGTTTGCTGATGTACTGTCCAGCGACCGAAAACGAACCGACCTTAAACTGATGTCCGAAAGGCGAGTGAATATGGACAAACGTATAAGAAAAATGATTAATTGAGGTATCACTTTTTTTTATACTTATGAGGTTCTGGGCAACAATAAAATGATGTTTTTTTCGATTGTTTTATGCCCGAGATCAAAAAAGAACCGAACCGAACTATAACGGTTTGGTTCGAATCGATTTGAACCGAACCCGAACTGTTTTTTAGGCAACAAAGATGAACCAAACCGAACTCGAACCAGTAAAACTCGGTTCAATTCGGCTTCTGGTATGGTCTAATGAAAATATATGAGTAATAGTAAAGGAATAAGTATGAGGAAAATAATTTTCAAGCTTTCAACAAATAATAATAAGATTGAACAAAAATTGATTGATGAAACTTGCAAGAGATTTGACGAATTAATAAAATATGGTGAACAACAAATACGTAACAGTTAAAGGAGATTTTTGTGTAATCAGGTTAATATAAGAGTGTTTTATATCTTTTTTGTTAATAAAATATCTTATTGATCGATTGCGAAAAATTGATGCCCACATTCTCATATTTATATTTTTATTATTAGAAGAGAAGATATTATTCAATAATATGTCATTTGAAAGATTGACATGAGTACTCAAGGTTCATATAAAAACATTCAAGTAGAAGTTGTTTTGTGTCTTCATATGAACTCATTTTATTGTGCCTCAAGCCCTATGAAATACCTTATATGAATCGAATTGATTATTCAATCTGTCGTATTCTTACAGATATCTTTATTTTAGGTGGTCTCCATGAGTGGTTGGATGCAAAGTTATTCAGCATCAAAGAAGTATTTATAATTCTAGACAACATATTGATTTTTTCAAATAAAATAACTATTGTCGATGTCAAAATATTATGTATTTCGATTGTTTTTTAAATATTTCGTAAGCGAAAGCACTTACAACTCTAAGATTTTCACCATCCAAAAGGAAACTGTGGACGAAGTAAAATACTTCCATATTAGTTTGTCTATGCATTGGTCCAGTGAGGCAACTTTCACGATGGATGTTGTTCAGATATTTTCAAAGACGATTTTTCAATCCAATATTAGCTTCGATTTAGCCAATCGATAATGAATAAATTTTGACTTCAACAAAGCTCAATTGAATACTACCAATTGCTTTTAGTTTCAATATAATGGTTTTTATAATTCATTCTATACAATGCTGTGAACAACTGGTAGAATATCATCTAAATCTCGTTCTTTTGAGGCCATATTACTTCAAAATTAAAAATAAATATCACCATTCGATGCAATTTGATCAAATAACCCTAATTTCATACTGAGGTCTGACCAAAAGTTCTGAGATCTTTAAATAAAAATATAAAGATAAGAAGATATTTTTAATTTTATTGTATCAAACGTTGAGGATAGTTGCCATGATTATTGATATCAAGTTCAATTCTTTCGACACAATTTATTAAAAGTTTTTTTTGAACTGTTTTTCGAAAAAACTTTTAGCTACTTTGGATACCGCATGAGTATATAATATTTCATTTATTTAATTAATTAAATTCTCTTCGATAGAGCTACTTAATCAAAGATTAGGTAGTATTAGGCACAGCGAATATGACTGCTGCGGCATTATATTGATGCCCTCTTTTGTCAAATAATTAATAGCATCGGATGAGTATGAAGTCAACGATAATCCTCAAGCAGTTTTGTACATTTTGCACTTTATACCTCTTTTTGTTTTCATATTACATTTACAAAAGGCTTCAGATAATTTTCAATATAATACTTGTAACCTACTATCATGCCTTTATCTACACTTAGGACTATTTGATTTAAAACATATGCCAAACACAGTTTGCGTTCAAATCTATCTCCATGAACAATGATCTTTGACGATTCATCCTCAATAAGCCAGCTAGAATCAGATGACTTATGATTAACCTATATAAAATAAATCTATACTTCGTCACTAGTACTACTAGAACGCAAGTGACAAAATCTGACAAAACTTCATTAAAATTTTAAAACAAATGAAACATGATTAGCTCATGCGGTATCCAAGATAGCCAAATCTTTTTCGAAAAACAGTTCGAAAAAACTTTTAATAAATTGTGTCGAAAGAATTGAACTTGATATAAATAACCATGGCAACTATCCTCAACATTTGATAAAATAAAATTAAAAATATCTTCTTATCTTTATATTTTTATTTAAAGATCTCAAAACTTTTGGTCAGACCTAAGTATGCCTAACATAATGTATTAAACTTAAACTAAGCGAAAATAAAATCAGTTTTGGGAGTCTTGGCTTTAGTTTAAAAATAAATATTATTCAAAAAAAAACATTTGATTGATTTTACATCTTCTAAACCAAATATTGAACAAGAAATATTATTATCTTTAAAAAAAAAGAATAAATCTTTGGTCCCTTGAAAATCCATATTTATATGATATTCATATTGATTTATATCAAGCTGATATATTTATTGAACATATTGATAGTTATATCGATTCTAGACAAAGTTCTCTTTGTTCTAAAAAGGAAAAGAATTGTCTTAATAATTAACCGTATTTTATGTTTGAAGTTCTTGATCAAGATTATTGACGTGATCATCCATATCGATATGATATAGAACAAATAAAACACTTAGGTTTTAATACAATTATTGATGTGATGCATCAGGTATACTTGTTTGACAAGATGTACCTGCAGAAGATTCCTTTTATGGTTATAAAGTTGAATTAGATGCTGATAAACAATTACGATTACGTCATAATAATAGAGGACGAATGATTTATCACTAGTTCCAATAATAAATGTAGATTTATCTATAAAATGGCTATCGACTATTGAAAAAAAACTTTGAATCTAAAATTCACTTTGAACATGAATTAAAAGCAATGATTGATTTTCTTTCATTTCATCCATCAATTATTATTTGGGATTATTTAATGAACAATGGGGTCAATATGATTCAATATGTTTAGAAAACATGGTTGCAGATCAAGATTGTTTAATCAATACTGCTAGTGGATGGCAAGATCGAATAGGTATTGAACATATCAGAGATATCCATGATTATACAAAATAGATTTTATTATCATCATTTGATGAAATTTTCTTGGAGTTGTAATCATTATTTAATGACATATGCATTCAAATAATTTATTCTTAATCGTTCACTACGTTTATCAGCTATGATTTATACACAATTATCTGATATTGAAAATGAATCGAATGAAATTTTAACATGTAATCGATAAGGAATTAAATCTGTGGCTCCGCAAGTCATACGTATACTAAGAAATCTTTTTTATAATACAATACCGCAAAAACATTTTTAGATATTTATATACATTCTATACCATCATTAGACGATAATGAAGATAAATCTTCTATACATATCAATGCTTTCTGAATAATTTATGCATATTTATTGATTTAAATAAATATATAATGTTTTATTTGACAATGAAAATATTTCTTCTTTTACGTTATCGAGAAGTAGAGTTGATATTCTATTACAACGTAGTGCTCTTGTTGATTCAGTACCATTTGGGAAACGAGCTGAAAATAATAAAATAGCTGGTTCAACACCATTAATTGATGCAACTAAATATAATCATCCTGAATGTGTTAAACATTTATTAGTACATCATGCTAATCCAAATCATAAAAATCATTCGAGTATATCAGCATTAATACTTGCAGCTGAACTAGGTTATTTTGAATGTGTTAAATTACTTGTACAAGCTGGAGCTGATCTAAAATTAGCACCAAATGGTAAGAATAATTCTCTAGAAAACTTTAGGGGTTGTTATTTTTTTATAACATTTATAAAATTAATTGATTTATTTCTAGGTTCAGTAGCATTAAGATTGAATTTATGTGGTCAAACATCATTATTTTGTGCAGCAAAAGAAGATCGAACGGATATGGTTAAATATTTATGAGATCATGGAGCTAATCCACATGTTCGAAATCATTATGGTGCCAGTGCTTTATGAATTCCAGCCCAAAAAGGCATGTTACAAGTTGTTGAATTATTATTAAATGCTGGTGCTGAAACACATGTTGCTCCATTTGATAGTCAAGCTGATGAATTAAATATAACTAGTTTTTGATGTTGAAAAATTACTTCGTAAACGTGATGCTGATCCAAATACAGTGACAAAACTCAGTTCAACATCATTTTTATTGGCATGTGAAATATGTGATTTAGATATAATTGAAGCTGGTGCTGATTTTAATTATGCAGCAAGTGGTCTAGAAGCTGATAATTTAAATATAACTGATCAAACAGCATTTTTTTGTGGCTATATTAAACAATCGTATTGATGTGGCAAAATTTTTAATTGAAAAAGGAGCACGAGTAAATGTATAAAATTGCTATGGTGTATCACCATTACTCCTTTGTACTGAATCGGATAATCGAGAACTTGTTCAAGTACTTACTGAAGCCACTGCTAATGTTAATATTACACTGCAAGAAGAATCAGGTGAACAAAAATTTCCTTACTGGACAGGTAAAAACTTTATCATACTTTTGTTTTTGTACTGATCAACTAAATTTTTTATTGACACCAACATTTAGAGAACTTTAATGTATAAGAGTTTACATAGAAATTCTGTCCGTATAAGAATATGGTACGAAGAGAGCTCTACATGTTTGTATTATAGTAGCATGAATCCAGTGATATTTTCATACGAAAAATTATAATGAAAACTATGTATCCTTATTTTTAGATCAATAAGGAAAATTTACGCTTCTTCGTAAAGGTGCATAGTGTATTTAACATTCAGCCGAAATCGATTCATGATGAATTATATTCTGTTTTCGGCGATCAAACCCCATCTTATAATACAGTTGCCAAATGGTCTTGAGAAGGACGAGAATATATCATAGAAAGATAAGAATGCAGCTAAAACGAATACTTATGTATGAGTTTTTATTTTATTGAATAAATTGCTTTTAAATAAGAACTCGATATTTCGACTTATATTTCAATCTTTACTGTTCTTGTATATGTGTATTTATGATTTATCTTTTTGTTTGTGAATGTAATGTTGTCCATCTATATATATAACCATAGAACAATATGATATAACTATTGTTATTGTTGTGAGCAGTCAAGGATCATGCTAATACAGTTCGAATCTTATATCAACATGGTGGAAATGTTGATCAACAATTTTGCGTTCGAAGAACAAAATGTAACTGCATATGATTTAGCTGGATCTTAGCAGTATGATCATGTATGTGAAGTACTCAAAAGTTTTGATACAAGACAACTATCTCATAGTATATTATCAAGTCACCTACAAGCTAATAAATAATCTCATTCTATCATTATATACCTAAAACAACATTTTGTGTTTTTCTGTTTTCGATCGACGGTCAATTTTTTTTCTCCTCGTTTAACATACGTTTGTATATATTTTTTTTCTGTATAGTCTACTGTTTGCCTTTACACAAGTTCATTTTTTTCTCAATATCTATGTTTTTCTGCTCATGATTTTTTTTTTCTATTGAAGAATTTCTATGTATGCCTGTGTGATCTAGAGAAAGAGTTATTCTATGAATAAATGTAAACTAAATAATGTGTTTGAGATAAAACAAAGAATAGCATAAGTTCTAATCTAATGTGACTTTTTTATTTTTTTTATACAAAAATAAGAAGAAACAAATATGCTTCTGAAAATAGAAATATAAAATTGAATAATTAAAGGAATAAACACTGAAGATATTAATAGGAGATTGCAATTGCATAATTCAATCTCTTGAGGTACAAATGGTTTTTAGAAAAAAAGAACGACTTTTATACTGATCTGTTGTAAAATAATGTATCGATTAATAGAGGATATAGTGAATTCCTATCTGCAGGGAATTCACACTTCTGTGTATCACTATATAATGAATAATACAGATCAAGGCATACCGTTGCAACTATCTAGATTAAATATCGATGACGTGTAGGATGTGAGTGTTTTCATTGATTAGAATAATTATATTCTTTATCCACATCTACACTCGTATTTTCAACGGCCACCAAGAACCATCTTC